CGGTGCCCCGGTGCCCCCCCCGTTCCGCCGCCTATGATTTTGCGAACAGACGCCGTCGCCACCAATGCACCACTACCGGTCCGCCATTTCCGCCATTTTTCATTGAGGTCAGCGTAGCGGGCGGAGCACGCGAACTTCGTTAGGGAAGGTTGGGTTTAATAGTGCTATATATACCGTGGGTTGAAGCTTGGTTGTATTTAGACAAGGTAAGGTTCCATCTATGTCTAATGCTTAAGATGATTTGATCAATTTTGATCACAATCCACTGGTGGGATTCAGGGTGGGTCAGGGTAGGGGAGAGTCGTCTAGCGCGCCCCGGTTAAGGTTTGATTCCACACCACCAGCACAATGAGAGTGCGTCTAGCGGCTGGTAGGGACAATTATGAGACAGTGCTTGCGCGCTTTATACAAACTGAATTATCGCAAGACGTCTATCAATTCAGCAGCAACGAATATCAGCCTCACAGCAGCATATTCCGGGGTGTTTCGATTTGGCTGAGAATCGGTATACAGGGCCTCCTCGATGCGCTGATTCCGAAAATGTACCTCTTTGGGGTGGTATTTTGCACCGTTAACGAGTTAACGGCCAGTTAACATTTTAACGGGAAACGGCGGGGTCTTTCGAATTGGCTGAAAATCGGTATACAGGGCCTCCTCGATGCGCTGATTCCGAAAATGTACGTCTTTGGGGTGGTATTTTGCACCGTTAACGAGTTAACGGCCATTTAACATTTTAACGGGAAACAGCGGGGTCTTTCGAATTGGCTGAAAATCGGTGTCCAGGGCCTTCTCGATGCGCTGATTCCGAAAATGTACCTCTTTGGGGTGGTATTTTGCACCGTTAACGAGTTAACGACCAATTAACACTTAAACGGGAAACGGCGGGGTCTTTCGATTTCGCTGAAAATCGGTATACCGGGCCTCCTCGATGCGCTGATTCCGAAAATGTACCTCTTTGGGGTGGTATTTTGCACCGTTAACGAGTTAACGGCCATTTAACATTTTAACGGGAAACGGCGGGGTCTTTCGATTTGGCTGAAAATCGGTCTACCGGGCCTCCTCGATGCGCTGATTTCGAAAATGTATCTCTTTGAGGTGGTATTTCGCATCGTTAACGAGTTAACGATCCGTTAACATTTCAGCAGCATATCAATCGATTTCAGCAGCAAATTTTCGGGGTCTTTCGATTTGGCTTAAAATCGGTGTACAGGGTCTCCTTGATGCGCTGATTCCGAAAATGTACCTCTTTGGGGTGGTATTTTGCACCGTTAACGAGTTAACGACCAATTAGCATTTTAACGGGAATCGGCGTGGTCTTTCGATTTGGCTCAAAATCGGTATACAGGGCCTCCTCGATGCGCTGATTCCGAAAATGTACCTCTTTTGGGTGGTATTTTGCACCGTTAACGAGTTAACGGCTATTTAACATTTTAACGGGAAACGGCGAGGAGGCCCTGTATATCGGTTTTCAGCCAAATTGAAAGACCCCGCCGTTTCCCGTTAAAATGTTTATTGCACTCGTTAACGGTGCAAAATACCACCTCAAAGAGGCACATTTTCGGTATCAGCGCATCGAGGAGGCCCTGTATACCGAATTTCAGCCAAATCGAGACCCCGCCGTTTCCCGTTAAAATGTTAACTGGCCGTTAACTCGTTAAGGGTGCAAAATACCACCCCAAAGAGGTACATTTTCGGAATCAGCGCATCGAGGAGGCCCTGTATACCGATTTTCAGCCAAATCGAAAGACCCCGCCGTTTCCCGTTAAAATGTTAAATGGCCGTTAACTCGTTAACGGTGCAAAATACCACCCCAAAGAGGCACATTTTCGAAATCAGCGCATCGAGGAGGCCCTGTATACCGATTTTCAGCGAAATCGAAAGACCCCGCCGTTTCCCGTTAAAATGTTATTTGGTCGTTAACTCGTTAACGGTGCAAAATACCACCCGAAATAGGCACATTTTCGGAATTAGCGCATCGAGGAGGCCCTGTATACCGATTTTCAGCCAAATCGAAAGACCCCGCTGTTTCCCGTTAAAATGTTAAATGGCCGATAACTCGTTAACGGTGCAAAATACCACCCCAGAGAGGTACATTTTCGGAATCAGCGCATCAAGGAGGCCCGGTATACCGATTTTCAGCCAAATCGAAAGACCCCGCCGTTTCCCGTTAAAATGTTAAATGGCCGTTAACTCGTTAACGGTGCAAAATACCACCCCAAAGAGGTACATTTTCGGAATCAGCGCATCGAGGAGGCCCTGTATACCGATTTTCAGCCAAATCGAAAGACCCCGCCGTTTCCCGTTAAAATGTTAAATGGCCGTTAACTCGTTAACGGTGCAAAATACCAGCCCAAAGAGGTACATTTTCGGAATCAGCGCATCGAGCAGGCCCTGTATACCGATTTTCAGCCAAATCGAAAGACTCCAAAAATTTGCTGCTGAAATCGATATATGCTGCTGAAATGTTAACGGTTCGTTAACTCGTTAACGGTGCAAAATACCACCCCAAAGAGGCACATTTTCGGAATCAGCGCATCGAGGAGGCCCTGTGTACCGATTTTCAGCCAAATCGAAAGACCCCGCCGTTTCCCGTTTAAATGTTAAATGGCCGTTAACTCGTTAACGGTGCAAAATACCACCCCAAAAAGGTACATTTTCGGAATCAGCGCATCGAGGAGGCCCTGGATACCCATTTTCAGCCAAATCGAAAGACCCCGCCGTTTCCCGTTAAAATGTTAACTGGCCGTTAACTCGTAAACGGTGCAAACTACCACCCCAAAGACGTACATTTTCGGAATCAGCGCATCGAGGAGGCCCTGTATACCGATTTTCAGCCAAATCGAAAGACCCCGCTGTTTCCCGTTAAAATGTTAAATGGCCGATAACTCGTTAACGGTGCAAAATACCACCCCAGAGAGGTACATTTTCGGAATCAGCGCATCGAGGAGGCCCTGTATACCGATTTTCAGCCAAATCGAAAGACCCCGAAATATGCTGCTGTGAGGCTGATATTCGTTGCTGCTGAATTGATAGACGTTATCGCAAGGCTACTAAATCAAATTGTATATGCGCGTTGGTATCTTCGGTCTTTGTTATTGTTTGGGCTGGCTGTGGCTGCCGACAGGTGTGCGTTTGTTATTTATTTTTGTTTTCGGCAGGAAGAGACATCTCATAATTTTGAAAAGATAACTTTTGCTATTGACACACGCTCAGAAGATTGATTGAAAATGTGACGAGATGAAAATATTCAAAGATCACTGAAGTGATCTGAAGAATCTGAGATACTGAAGTGAAAGTAGCAAGAGGTCGTTGTCCCAAATATAAATTGAAATAGATAGGTATGGAAGTGCATCTATATAAATCATATCGCCAATGAATGAATACCAACTGAGTTTATTGGTGGTTTATTGGTTTCCCAAATCCCAGATGGATCATTGTAGACAGTGTTTGATTGAATCAGAATGCAAACTTCCTGCTGGATTTACCATGTTCTGTTATGTTCACATAATAATGCAGTATGTGTAACTGGTTAATCTTCAGTATAAAATGTTATTAATATTTGCAGCCATGTGTTTTGTCAGATTAATCGGAAATCAAAGTTTGACTTGCATGCTGAGTGGCGTGCTTTGGGCACCAAGTTTGATGTTGTGCCCATACTCATAATGATAACTTATTTCTATATTTAGTTATTAAAACATCATCTAAAATGGAAGTGTAATATTATTATTCAATATCAATATTAAATGTCAATATTCTACGATTAAAGCAAGAACATAGTGACCTACCTTCTGATGTTTGTGAGATGTACCTAATTGAATATCAATATGAAGGGGATAGCTTGTATTTCCTGGTCTAATGTGTGCCGTCGAAGGTCCTGCTTCAATCAATGATAGTGCCTACTTACCTGTCATGCATTGAAAATGGTGCAGTTAACCAATGAATGAATTTCAGTTTTACATGTGGTGTGTGCAGCATCCAGCCAGCAGGAAATGCATTTCATCTAAAACTGAACACTCCTTCCAGGCTCCAAAAATTGATTGTCATAATAATCTTTGTTATTTTTATGCCAAAACCAATGAATGAATTTCAGTTTTACATGTGGTGTGTGCAGCTTCCAGCCAGCAGGAAATGCATTTCAAAATGAGCTATGGTTTGACTTCATTCAGACTCCATTACACTTCCATAACATATCATGAGTCATGAAGAGAACAACATTATTCATTATTACGAAATATGAATGCTTTTATTCATCTTGCCAGGGTCCAAGCATGCACATATTTACTATCAATGCACATGACAGAACAGATAACATCAGCTGGTCAAACACATGATACCACACGTATCAGTAGTCTACTGTTCTTTGAAAATAAGCATATCCATGAACACCTTGATAAACTGCTTCGCAAACCCAGTAAGTACTTGTGGTTGAGTTGACAAAGGTGCTTGCAGAATCATAACCAAACTACTGTAACAATAAAAATCACTGCTTTCTCGCTTTTTTCCATTTCAACTCGGATCTTCGGTTACAATCATCTCTGGAATACCTGTTTATCACACATTTCAATCCATCTTCTGATGAAAACAAAAACTAAAATAACCAACGCTCACTCACTCGGCACTCCTCATCTCAATCTTTTAATATCTCAATCTCATCACATTTTCCACCAATTTTCTGAGTGTGTCAATATCAAAAAGGTAATCTCTTCGCAATTGTGAGTTGTCTCTTCCTGTCGAAAACAAAAATAAATAGCAAACGCACACCTGTCGGCAGCCAGCCAGCCCAAACAATAACAAAGACCGAGGATACCAATACGCAAATACATTTTGATTTAGTAGCCTTGCGATAATTCAGTTTGTATATGGCGCGCAACCACTGTCTCATAATTGTCCCTACCAGCCGCTAGACGCACTCGCACAATGATCATGTTTCCACCCATTTTTTTTTTTTGCCAATGCGTTATTTTACTTCTTAATCATTTGGCGTTCATTTCCAGGTGGAGCAACTCAGCGCGTGTTGCACCATGGCCTGATCGGACCTGGAGCGGAACGTCCGTTCTGTAATGCGCGGCACTGTGTCGGCCGATCTGTCCGAGCACCTTTCCCCGAAAGGGAAGAATGGGAAGAGGGCTATAGCGGAAACCGTCCTCTTCGACGTTATCTGCGGTGAGTGTCAGTGATGCTTGTGTGTGCGTGTATTTGCGTGCATGTTTGCTTTTGCTATCGATGTTTTGCTTTTCGTTTGCCATTCATCGGAGCGCTTTTTTCTTTTTTCACGTGTCTGTTAAATGCAGTATATTCTTTTCTGATGTATCGGTGTGCTTTGTACACCCTCCCATATCCCTCCCTTGTTCACACAAGATAATGACGCAGTTTGGGTGGCTTTTCTGGCAGAGACACTGAGACGCTGCGGTGGCGCCAACCGAGACGCCGTCGGGAGGTGCGTGGGCCTCTGGCTCTCCGGCAGCCGGGATCGGAACGGCAAGCGTCTCCGAAGGCTCTCAAAAACCAAGGAGGCAGCTGGCCCGTCAGTGGCAGGCCAGGCCCCGACCGACCGACCTCCACTGCAGCCGGTGGAGAACCTCGAGACGCTGGAGGTCCGGCAGCCTGACTTCGAAACCCGCCAGGCTGAAGCCGAAGAGGCTGAAGCCGAAGAGGCTGAAGCCGAAGAGGCTGAACTCCCCATGGAGCAATGGTAGCTGGAGGATACCAGCGCGGCGGTGTATAGGTATACGTATAGTCAAGTGTTGAGCAATACATTACAATGTCAGAACGAACTGTTTGAGCAAATGATTCGAGGCGCAAGCTCGCGGTCAAACGACCGCCACTGATCGGGGGTGGGGGGGGGGAGGTGGCTGGAACCGCCACTGCCAGGTTGGGCTTAGCGACGTGCAGCCCATATGGGGCCCGGTACGTTTAAGGGTGGGCTAGCCCACGTGGGCATGCCCGCATAGGGCCACAGTTGAGAGCCATTATGAATTCCTATAAGCAATAAGGGCAACATCCGGGCATGCCCGCACAAAAATGCGGGCTCGGCCACATTGGGCCCACAGTTATTCAATGCGGTACGAAGGTTGACGCTACTAGGGCTGAGCATGGGCAGCCCGCGTTACCCGGCTGCCGGTGCCCGCATGGGGCCACACCTGCGGTGGCTCAAAAGAGCAAGGTGCAGCGCGGGCATAACCCACCTTAGCCCGCACACGTCGGTGGATGGCGGGCGCAATGCGGGCAGCCCGCGCAATGGAAACGCGAGAGCCCGCGTGGGGCCACACTTGCGGTGGCTTGAAGTGGCATGGCGCAACGCGGGCATAGCCTACACAGTGCGTCAGAACGTGGGCTGAATGCGGGCATGCCAGCTAGGGCCCCGTGGTGGCTGAAGTACGTTTTTGGTTGGCGTTTTTGTGTCATACGCCGAGCAGAAACGTACTTAGAGGTTGGGCTAGCCCAAGGTGTTTCTGTGGGCTTGCCCGAGGTTTGCCAGCGTGGGCCCCGCATATTATTGTTGGCTGGGACGATCATAGACAGATCGGGCTGTGGTTGGGCAAGTCCGCACTGCCCGTTAGACCTGGCCCAATCGGGGCCCACGCAGGGCCCAAGCAGTCAAAACTGGGTGGGACCCGCTCGGGCCCTGCGCGGGCCCACACTATCCATGTCCAGCAGAGGTTGGGAAAGCCCATGCTGGCCGTTGAGCGGGGCCCGATTGGGGCCCATGCAGGGCCCAAGCAGACAAAACTGAGTGGGCCCCGCTCGGGCCCTGCGTGGGCCCCACCATTCACGCCCAGCAGTGGTCGGGCTTGCCCGCTCGGGGCCCGGCCGGTTTTTTGTTGGGCGTTGCTCGGCGGTCTGTACACCGACCAAAGCCCAAGAAAAAACTGAGCAGTGCCCAAGAAGTCAAAGTTGGGCCTGCCCAAGCAAAGACTGATTGGGGCCCGAGTGGGCATTGCTGACTGGGTTCCTATTTATTTTGCCGAATATTTGGCTGCGCTAACTGCGTTGTGTCGGCCAATGACAGGCTGGTTAACTGTTTGACATGTGATGTTGGCATGTGTATCAGCTCCAATAAAGATTCTCGGCTCCGCCGCCGCCTTGTCTAGAATAAGTCTTTTCTAACCAAAAACAAACAAACAAAAAACGCCGTGCTTGTCTGGAGCAGTTCTGGCAGGTGTGGAAGCGTATGTGCGTAACCTCTCTGCTGCCGTTCCCCGATTTAGTTCCCGAGGTGGTTTGCGGGTAGGATCGGTGGTGATGATCCAAAAGGACAACCAGTCCCGTCTGAGGTGGCCTTGGGGAGTGGTAGAGCGGATGCATCCGGGTAGGGACGGTGTTGTGAGAAGTGTAGATGTGCGCACCGGTAAGGGCAGTTACACGTGTGCTATTCAGCGTCTGCACAATCTTGAGGTAGTCGATGACAGCTCTGATGGCGTCCCTCCGCCCTGTGGCGGTTCCCGTGCGCCTCCATGCGGTGCCGGCGCGGCGTTTGATGTGCCAGGTGGTGTCTGTGATGGTGTTGAGGCTCCATCTGTTGGTCCGGCTGGTGATGACCCAAGTGCGAGGGAGCCCGAGGTTCGTACTCGATCGGGTCGCGTGTCTCGGCGCCCGCGGAGATATTATTTAAATTAATGGCTTGTGTTTGTTTGCGCCATGCGGTGTATTGTTTGATATTTGTTAGTATCATGGTGTTGAGTGCTCTCTGTTGCTGAGAGGCTCTCAAGGTGGGGAGTGTTGGATATTTAGCGTATGCCGTAGATACCCTCTGCCTCTGTAGAGTAGGTGGCGCTGGTTTGTAACACTTTTTTCGCAAACCTTGACGTTGATGTCGGGTCACGGGTGTGGCACGTGCCTTTCCCTACACAACTCAACTGGATTATGAACTTGATTCTGGGATCGTGATTGCCTTGCAATGCAAATGTGTCAGTGTGGCAATACAAGTCAAGTGAGACTTGAGACTATATATGGCCTTGCTTGAGAGTGTGAAAGTTTAACCGGACTGAAGTCGTTAAGTATCACAATCCACCAAGTTTAAGACCTCTATGACAAACACTGCAGGCTGGACATGATTGCAAACTTTTTTAGGTTTGGTCAGTTAACTTGACCTGGTGACCTGACCTGACATAACCTGGGGTAAAAAATTTCACACATTGTCCCAAATTGATGTACAAAAGGCTACTCCAAGCGGCGCGGCGCGTAGCGCCGCGGATTTTTATTCACACGCAAAAAAACGCAACAGGGTGGTAACATATGCCCCCCCCCCACTGGGGCGAAGGTTAAACTTTGGGCTCTAAATTCTGCCATAGAACTGGAATTGCGCAATCGGAGGGCAGAAGACAGGGTCACTGCAACAAGCTTTGCTTAGTATTGGCTCTGTCCTTGTGAACCCTTCCTATCTAAGGGTTCAAACTATATTTATAAAAAAGATGTGAAATCAGGTCATATAATGTCAGGTGATATGCTTTTTATTATCACTTGGGGTCCGCAACGAAAGCAAAAGTTATCGGTCCTTAAAGTAAATAAATACCCCCGGATTACCCACACCTGTACTCCCGACTGCTGACACTAGTCACTAAGCATTAACCCATGCATGACTGGGGTATTTTCGATAACGCGAGTGACTGAGGGGGGGAGCTCTCCACTTCCTGAGCCCCCCCCCCCTATCTCCGAAACTACTGGGCTAATCGTCAAAATTCAAACGGCGTCTGATAGCCCTGGAAAAACTGTCGATCGGAACCTATTTTCATTGACCTCGATGTCACCGATGACGTCACAGGTCAGGTCAAATTAAAATCATCAGCATTTTTGCTTGTTTACAATTTAGGCTCTGGCCGCCGGCTGATAAGTCCGATCAGGCTCATTTTTGGTTTATGCACTCCTTGACATAGGTATGCCTTAGATACCCTAAGGGTACCAAACATTTACTTCGAAATTTTCAGGTCAAGGCCAGGTCATCCTAGGTCACGAAAATTGTATATCCTGCATCAGTCACGTGACGCATGTTTTATGGTCCATTTTACACGTAGATTTCAAAAATAATGTCGGCTGTGTCATTTGAGGTCATTTTTAGCAGAATTTACCGGGGGTCAGGTCAATTTCAGGTCAGAAAAGGTCAAATTTTGAAAATGAGATTTTCAAGAAAAAAGATGCCTATCAGATGCAGTTTGAGCACAGAAACACGATGGTGCCATTTATATTGATGTACGATGTAAAAAACGTACTGAAAACTGGTTTTGAAAAATATATAATTGCAAAGTTTTGACAATAATGCAAATAACTTGGCTATTTTTGAAGATATTGGGCTAAAACTTGCTAAAGTAGTTCATCAGTGTGTGTTCTATCAGTGATAGACTAACACATATATTCCGGTTTTTGCGAGGAATCAAAAAAACTTTTTGAAAAAATAAAAAAATATATTTTTTGTAATTGTAAAACATATTTTTCAAATTTTTCAAAAATTCGAGATAGCAGTTTGATAGCTACGTGTATTTGTAGTCCATTGATGCAAAGAAATTGGATCTAGCTTTAAAACTAAGCTCTTGAGAGCGTTTGCCGTAATTCAATATTTTGCATCAAAATCGGCCGACATGACGTCACTCTGACGTCATTTTCGGCCAAATTATTGTAGCTAGAAAGTTGAAATTTTTACACAAGGTGTCAAATTGATGCCGCTGAGGGTACTGCACGTTTCGTGTAGATCTGTGAAACAGTTTAGAAGATATTGCCGCAAACGGGAGGGGGCTCTGTAGAGCCCCCCCCCGTCATGCGCGGGTTAAGCATTACACCCAAAACATGCTACCTATTAAAAATAAAATAAAAGCAAAATTCAGTATAGCAACTGCTTTATTGTACTCACCAAAAACCATGACATGTTGACCTCCCAGGCAGCCAATGTCAGAGTGATCCAGTGCTTGTCAAATGTCCTGTTTGTATTTGGCTGAGTAAATTTTGTTGAGTCTTGTAAATTGCTGCGAAGAAAGAACATGGCACAATCACTTATACTGGCCGGTGTTTCACGGATGCTCGCTGGGTTACCATGGAAACATCAACAAACTCAAACGCTCGTAACACTGAAAGGTCAAGCCAAATTTGTCTCAAACACCGCACCAACAGCAGCACGCGCCGTGAAACACAGCGCCCTGGTAGTTCGAGGACTTAACCCGGCAGTTGCTGGGGTATTTCGCCACCCACCGTTTGCTGGGGGGGGGGGGGGCGTTAAACGCCCCCAGCCGATAACTCGAGAACCAATAGGCGCAGCGAAACGCACGATGCGGCAAACGAAAGAACGCGACGAGACGCTTCAGATGAGTACTTTTAAATTGAATTTTGAGGTCACAGGTCAGGTCAAGGTCAGGTCAAACACCTGAAATCGGGCTTTCAGTAGCATGGACTTCAGGACTTCGCAATGGGCGCCTCTCGTCATAAACTCTGTCAAAACGGTGCACAATCCATCATATAAGGCCTACAAGAGTGTCAGCTCCATGTAGGGGTCAGTCAAGCATAGGTCAGGGTCAAGGTCAGGTCAACCGGGCAGGCACATATCCCCGAAAATCAAAACTAATATTCGCAGCCTGTGACACATGTTTTATGGGTAATTTGGGGCGTGGAACACGATGGTGACATTCATTTTACCATATGTGTACGTGTTTGGCTAAAAAAGTTCAATTTAAGAAATGCATGTATCATGGTCGTGAAGTAGTCACGAGAAATTGCCAAGATGCAGTTCAAGATTTTGGAAAATGCGGAACGATAATCAACAATCGAAGATAGCCATTTGATTGTTCATGGTATTAGCAGTCCAGTGGCGTTTACGGCATGTCTGTATGTCTATTCTGTGATTTTATATGATTTTTTGAACATATGCCGTTTTTGGTCGAAAATTCAGAAATCATGACGTCACTAAAACCTCGATATCTCAAAAATTTTCCGACCGATTTTTTTGAAACTTTGTCACAATAAACTTCATTCAATTTCCTACAGGTACCCAAAATTTGGCGCGCCTGCGGCGCGCCGTTTTTATGCTATGGCCCGGCGAAAAAAGTGGGGGCGTTTAACGCCCCCCCCCCCCCCAGCAACTCGCGGGTTAAATCAGCCCTCAACTGTCCCTTGGATGTTTGGTTTGGGTTCAACAACACCATATCCGGTGGACCAAGGTGCTAACCAAACTCTCACCCTGTTCCAAGCGGTCAGGGCCCTGTTTCACCGGAGCGATAGCAGCACGCTGCTATCAAATTGCGCGAGCTGACATAATGTGATGACGTCACACTAATGACGTTCCGTGTAATCCGTCAGCTTTTTCATTTTGGAACAGAGTTTCTGTCTCGTTGAATGCGTTTGATAGATTTGTTTGATCGCACCCCCGTGAAGATGTTAGCACTGCAGGGCTGCGAAGTCGATGGATTTTCGGCGACTCCGACTCCGACTCCGGCTTTCAAAAACCAGCTCCAACTCCGACTCCGACTCCGGGCAGAATTGTCGACTCCGACCGACTCCAACTCCCGACTCCGACTCTGCAGACCTAGCAGGGCTGCGGAGTCGACAGATTTTCGGTGACTCCGACTCCGACTCTGGCTCGGGTTTCTAAAATCGACTCCGACTCCGACTCCGACTCCGGTCACAACTGTCGACTCCGACCGACCCCGACTCCGACTCCGACTCCGCAGCCCTGGTTAGCAGCAATGTTCGATGACATAACACGGTTTGACAACACCATGGTTTGTTGATGTTTCCATGGAAACCCAATTTGACACGTGTAATAGCAGCGTGCTGCTATCACTGGTGAAACGTGAAACAGGGCCCTGGCAGCAGCAATTCAGTTGGGGAAACTACAAGGCAAAAATCCAAAAATTGATTGGTCAATAAATAGACTTTTGATGATCATATATGGGCATAAATGCAGCCCACGCTACCAAGGGTGAAAAACGGTACCTATAACAAGCCGGTACTTGCGGTATCGCGACCACTTATCGGAGAGAAAATGCTTCCATTTTCCACTAGGAATAAGCGTGATTTGATTAAATTTGGCGAACTGACTCGAAAATGGCGATAGGAAAAGGGCTTTTCTGCAGGTTCTGGCCGTCATAATCAGCTGGCCATTCAATAAATGGAATGGTGTTTTGAAAGAAAACTGTTAAAATATTTAATTTAATTACAATTAACAAAGATATTTAATTTTAAAATAATAACTTAACCACAATTATAAAAACCATCAACAAAATAATAAAAAAATGATATTTTTAAACCACGGTACTGCTTACATTTTTGGCGCGTCTCTTTCAATCCGCCATATTTGCCAATCACTGTTTGACCTCACGTTGTAACTCTGCGATTTAGAGCCACCAGTTAATTATGCACCGGGTGAGTGTAGGCCTTGTGTGGTTAAAAAACATTCTAATGCCTTATTTTTCATTTGAATGCTAGAATCAGTCGGGCGCACTGTGGTATCTCCGATCCATTTATGGAGACGTTTCTAACATCCCCGCACATATTTTCTTGCCAAGGGTGGCTGGATTTGATGTATAACAACTGTTTCGCGTAAAACAAGCTCAGATACACCAAAAGCACTTGTCTTCTTGCATGGAAAGCTGTCGTATGCATTCAAATTCACGTCTTTAAAATGCTCCTGAATCGTATCCATTTATGGAGACTTAGTTTCCAAAAATGGAAACGCCGATGTTCCAAAAATAGAAACGCTGAAGTTCAAATGTGTGCAAACTTAGCTTAAATGTGTTCTTAAAATTCACATGCAACTAAAAATTTGATGTTTTGGGACTGGTTTAGCATCTCGGCTCTCAGCAGTTAACTTGGACGTCGGGTTCGATAATAATACATTACGCGCCGCAACTTGAGCACATTCAAAAGTCAACTAAAACTAAGATTTCCCAGAAACTACTGGACAGATGTGGTCCAAAGTGGGCAATACATAAAGCGTAGATATCATTTCAATATATAAAATTAATATCAATGTTACACATGAGCTAGAATGAATAAATTCATCGTCAGAATACAACGGTATTTGGTGTGACGACGGTGCAGACCTTATTTCCATCCTGCTTTTTACGTATTTGCACGGAGATTGACGTTGATCCGAGCTTACGATCATATTCAGCACATTTGAAATATCATAAAATGCCCACTTAAAGGTAGTGTGCCAGCTTTCTTGGACCGTATGGAGTTAATGGCCCAGATAAGGAGAACCGGATTTTTAGAACTTATCCATACCTTCAAAACTCATGGAAACGTCTTAAATTCTTCAAATTTTGAGTACCCCAGTGCGAAATTCGCCCCGACGGGTTGTCGGTCGTACCCCAACCACATTTCACACCACTATGAACAATAAATGCACACACTGAAATCGCTATTACCGATATGCTCATCCAATCAAGTTTCGATAAACCCGTTCATCATCATCTCCTGCGGTTTCGAACACGCCTGTTAGGTGGCTTCTGATGCTCGTCGAGGTCGGAATTTCCAAATACGCGTGGTGCGTCGGGCCGCGCGCTCTGACTTCGGCCAAGAAAAATGCGTCAGCTGATCATTGTCATTTCTGCCACTTGCGTGTGGTGAAATGGGGTCATAACTTATAAGACGGCTTTTTCATATCAATTATTTTACATAAAATCATATTTCAAACCATAAATAATGTTCGACAGCCAAATAAAAGAAACAATACAATACGGGCTTACAGTTTAAGGCTCGACATTGTGTTGTCTACGATTAGACAGCTGATAACTCATTCCCGTACGTCGTATGGTCGTAACACTATAATGACCTTTGCTTATTGTCACAAGTGCGCCGCATTCGCGATTGTTGCCCGACGCCTGTTTGCAGGTGAGCCCACTACAGTTGTTATACATATCTAAAAACCGAAAAACTTTTAGGCGAAAAGGCACTATTCCAGGCCCATTTTTGATTTTTTTTTTGCGATATTAGGTAAAAACAGAAGCTTCTTATCCTAGGAAAAATAAAATGGGAAATCTTTCAAAGGTGGCACACTACCTTTAAAGGTAGTGTGCCACCTTTAAAGGTAGTGTGCCACCTTTGAAAGATTTCCCATTTTATTTTTCCTAGGATAAGAAGCTTCTGTTTTTACCTAATATCGCAAAAAAATCACAAATGGGCCTGGAATAGTGCCTTTTTTGCCTAAAAGTTTATCGGTTTTTCGATATGTATAACAACTGTAGTGGGCTGACCTGTAAACAGGCGTCGGCAACAATCGCGAATGCGGCGCACATGTGACAATAAGCAAAGGTCATTATAGAGTTACGACGTACGGGAATGAGTTATCAGCTGTCTAATCGTAGACAACACAATGTCGAGCCTTAAACTGTAAGCCTGTATTGGTATTGTTTCTTTTATTTGGCTGTCGAACATTATTTATGGTTTGAAATATGATTTTATGTAAAATAATTGAAATGAAAAGCCGTCTCTTAAAGGAAATAGTTCACTTTCACGAAATTATTTTTTTTGCAATGGATTTATGATTTTTTATGTTCAAAATGATCAGCAAAGAAAATAAAACCTATTTATAACAAAAGATTATTTTCTATATTTTGATATAAGAAGAACTTTTCAGTTTCTGTAAGGCACAGGCGATCCAGTATGAAAAGAGCATGGGTTCCGAAAATTCTTCAGAAACTAGAGAAATTATCGCGGCCACCGGCATTTGGGCGATCTGCTGCTGCTGAATGTCCTTATTGATCAGTACGAGAATTTCTCTTGAGTTCTCGTAGATAATTTCACTAGTTTCTGAAGAATTTTCGGGACCCATGCTCTTTTCATACTGGATGCGAATATATGCAAGGCACACATCCTCAACGCAATACACCTTTTTCGGGACGAGAAATAGAATATCTTTGCCTAGGGTGATCGTTGGGCTGTAAAAGCTCCTGATTTATGCTCGTCTCAGCCCGAGCTACGGAACTGCTATTCCAGTTCAAAACCCATGTTAAAAAGTGAACTATTTCCTTTAAGTTATGACCCCATTTCACCACACGCAAGTGGCAGAAATGACAATGATCAGCTGACGCATTTTTCTTGGCCGAAGTCAGAGCGCGCGGCCCGACGCACCACCACCGCACCACAAAGTACGAGCAGAAGCCGCGCCCAAAGCCAGGGCCCCGGTAACGTGAGGTAGCCGAGTCGGGGCAGCGTGCGCTGACCCAAGCCGGGGCCGCAGCTTTGGGCGCGGTCTACCACATCTCCGCGGGCAGCCCCGGGCTATCACATGACACCGGGAGGACGCGCGGCTCCGGCTTGGGTCAGCGCACGCTGCCCCGACTCGGCTACCTCACGTTACCGGGGCCCTGGCTTTGGGCGCGGTCTACCGCACCACCTAACAGGCGTGTTCGAAACCGCAGGAGATGATGATGAACGGGTTTATCGAGACTTGATTGGATGAGCATATCGGTAATAGCGATTTCAGTGTGTGCATTTATTGTTCATAGTGGTGTGAAATGTGGTTGGGGTACGACCGACAACCCGTCGGGGCGAATTTCGCACTGGGGTACTCAAAATTTGAAGAATTTAAGACGTTTCCATGAGTTTTGGAGGTATGGATAAGTTCTAAAAATCCGGTTCTCCTTATCTGGGCCATTAACTCCATACGGTCCAGGAAAGCTGGCACACTACCTTTAAGTCTCCAAATAGGGCTTTGCAACAACTTTCATGCGATTTAATCAAAGATTGACGACCACCAGGCCGCTGGTACACCGGAAAATGCAGCGTGAAAATGAATGAAAAACCGAAGTTCCCGGTGATGTGGTTGTTCCAATCAATGGGCCAGTCTTTCAGTAGTCTGTTAAAAACGTTATTTTTTGTTCAAAACATTCATAAATGTAATTATTTTCGATTAGAAAACGTGTGAATTTTTTTATCACGTCGACATGTTATAAGCATCGCCTCGTTCGTCAACTTTCGGTTTTCTGATCGGAAAGTCGGAGAACAGGAACATAAACTAGAATGCTGACTGTCGATTGGTGGCATCCTGCGCATGCCAAATTGCACCAATCAATGCCCAGTTTGCTTTAAAGGTAGCGATGCACATAGCGTCTCCATTTATGATTTATGGAACAGACCGTTTCTATTTTTGGAAACGGCGTATCCATTTTTGGAACATTGTTCCAAAAATGGAAAGTTCCAAAAATGGAAACGTTTCCATAAATGGATCGGAAATACCACAGTGTGCCCGACTGGAATTCATTGAAAAGATGAAGTTGTCTGATTTTGTGACCATATCAATGGGCCTGTTCCAGCGCCTCCAGTAGAAATTCTTGACTGGAGGCTCTACCAGAGGTTTCACTGGAGGCGCTGGAACACAAATCTGGAGATTTCTGGAGGTTGGCGTCACAGATATCAAAAGAATGACGATTGTTCTCTCTTGAAACGCAAAATTTGTTTTCAATCTTATTAACCCTCGCCCCGTTGGAGGGGGGGGGGCATTTTGGCCCCCCTGTGGTTTTTCCTGAATAGCAAGAAAACGGCGGCGCGCAGCGCCGCCAAATTTTCAGTACCTTCCCGGGCATCAATTTGACACCTTCACACCTAATTTCAAGTCTTAGGTCACCTTAGGTCAGGAGTTATTGAGGTCAAACTGAGGTCATGTTCGAGCAAAAATTAGCAAAAAACATGCAATCTTGAAGCGCTCACCAAATCTACAGTTATCAAGCAATTTCAAAGTTCTTTATATGGTCTAGTAGACAAAATGCGGCGCTACAAAACTGGTATCTCTGATTTTCAAAATTTTTGGTTTTTGACCAAAAAAAATTCAAAAAATTGATTTTTTTTAGAAAAACTAAAAAAAAACCAAAATTTTTCCGAATTTCAAAAAAACCGGAATATATTTGATAGTCCCAGCACTCTTCTATATACATACCAAATTTCAGATCGATATCTCGTTTTTTGGCCAAGTTATAGCGAAAAAAACTGTTCAAAAATGATGACGTCAAATTTTTGAACTCAATTTTTAGCGATTCTAGACCACGTACGGCAAAACAAAGACCACCATGGAACTCCCCGTGACGAGCTGCATCGATTCAATACCCATTTTATGCAAAAATATTAACTTTGAAATTTTACCTAATTTGACCTGACCTTGACCTGACCTTGACCAAAACGTGACCTAAGCTGGCCCCAAAGGCTGCCTGACCCACATAATCGCATTTGTCATGTAAAATGGACCATAAAACATGTATCACACGACACTTTCATATTGTGACCCCCCCGTGACCTGACCTCTTTGACCTGACCTGGTATCAGTGACCTCAAATAGCAAAATATGTGTTTGAAGAACATTTCCCCATCGATGATTTTCAATGAAATGCATTTTACTCGATTTTACAACGCATTTGTTGAAATGCCTGTAAACGGTGAAAATTGGACCTTTGATCTGACCTGTGACGTCATCGGTTTGACCTAGGTCAATAAAATTGGGTCACAAGGTAGTTCCCCGTTGGGGCTATCCAACGCCGTTTACCGCTTGTCGCTATGTTGCGTGGTTCTCGAGATCTTAGGGGGGGCCAAAATGCCCCCCCCCCCAACCGGGCGCGTTGCTCGGCAGAGCCCAACGGGGCGCGGGTTAAGAAAGATTAACAAAATTATAACAATATAATTTTCTTTACATTCAAGTTGTAAAATAATCAGTCAAAAGTCCTTTGTTTACATTCGTGATTGTCACATGTGCGCCATAATTGTAGACCAGAGCCTCCAGAGAAATTTGGGGCCTGTTCCAGCGCCTCCAGAAACCTCCAGAAAGCTCCAGAAAGCTCTAGAATCCTCCAGAGAGCGTTCCAGCGCCTCCAGAAAGCTCCAGAAAGCTCTCGCCAAAGCTCCAGAAACCTCCAGTAGCCTCCAGAGAGTTGAGAGGTCCAAATTTCTCTGGAGGCTCTGGTCTACAATTATGGTGCACATGTGACAATCACGAATGTAAACAAAGGACATTTGACTTATTATTTTACAACTTGAATGTAAAGAAAATTACAATGCTATCATTTTATTTATCTTTTTAACTAAAATTGAAAACAAATTTTGCGTTTCAAGAGAGAACAATCATCATTCTTTTGGTATCTATGACGCTAATCTCCAGAAATCTCCAGATTGCGTTCCAGCGCCTCCAGTAAAACCTCTGGTAGAGCCTCCAGTCAAGAATTTC